CAGGTTCTTTTTTTTATTTATTTCTTCTGCTTCTTCTTCTTCTTTTTTTTTAATTTTTTCCCTTTTTTTTTGGTAGTCTTTATAAAACGACTTGTAATAAAAACTTGGATTTGATATACAGCTTTGGCTAGCTGTGTATGAACTCTAAAACCACCTGTGGCTTTGGCCACTTTCCTTCTCCCTCATCCCCCTCTTCCTTGCTCAAGAAATATTGAATAGAAGCTTAAACTGGCTGCTTACTGTTTATCTAATTATTTTGTCAGTTTATTGATATGTCACTTCAATGCCAATGAGCACTCCATTTTTATCTAGTTGTGACAAATGAAGTTTTTAATTTGCAACCTTTTTTATATTAGAGTTTGTTTGAGTTTACACAGCCTATGCTATTATAGAATGYCTTAATGCTGTAAATGCTGGTAGTTTACTTCTATTTGCTGGGATTGCTCTCACATGTGGTACATACATAYGTWAAATATATATTGCATTGTAAACATTTGCCATTTTAAATCTTAGTTCTTCTTTCATGGTTCTGGTAATTATATTTTAATAAGGAACTTTAGAAAGTCAGTGAAATCCCAAACTGAAATGTTCTTTCTTTGAGCCACTATCATATATTGGACATTTGAAATGACAGATCTTTTTATCTCTATTTTTTGGGAAAAGCCTATTCAAATCATATTAGATGCATTTTAAGAAGCGATTGTGTAGCTAAAACGTCTAGTTTTCTGCCTGCAGGTGCATGGTCCTACAACAGGGAGAACTTTATAGCAGTCATAATCAGGGTGGCTTGTGTCCTGCCTGGGTACAATGGTAGTAGAATGGTCAGTAAATTCTGGTAGTAAGGCTGACTTCTTACAGCTGGGTAACTTCACTCTAAAAGGCATATGTGTCAACAGACCATGCTGTAACGGATCACGATGCAACAGAGGATAGGATCCTGACTTTCTTTTGAGGTATGGAATCTCAGACTGCCCTAGCGCTTTTAGAGAGCACTTCTGAACAAGTTATTCTTTCAATATTTCTTTTTGTGCTGCTTGGCTGGTCATAGAAAAAGCTTCCCCCCGCCCCCGTTACGTGTTTTATAACA